TAAACACATGAACAGATGCTTATCATCGCTATTAGGGAAATGCAAATTAAAACCACAATGAGATTCTATCTCATACCTGTTAGAATAGCTATTATCAACAAGATAAGTAATAACAAATGTTGGAGAGGATGCAGAGAAAAAGGAACCCTCATACGCTGCTGGTGGGACTGCAAATTGGAACAGCCACTGTGGAAAACAGTATGGAGATTCCTCAAAAAACAGAATTGATCTACTATACGATCCAGCAATCCCTCTATTGGGTATTTACCCCCAAAGACTTGAAAGCCCATGTATTTTTCATCTGGCACTCTCCCAGCATTTTTGTTTTGTTTTGCTTATTTTCTTCTTTTATTGTGGTAAAATATACATAACATAAACTTTACTATTTTAATAATTTTTAAGTGTACAATTTAGTGGCATTAAGTATATTGACAATGTTGAACAACTCTTACCACCATCCGTTTCCAGAACTTTTTCATAATCCCAAACAGAAACTCTGTACCCATTAAACAATAACTCTCCATTTCCTTATACTCCTAGCCCCTGGTAACTTTTATTCTAATTTCTGTCTCTGAATTTGCCTATTCTAGATATTCTTATAAGTGGAATTATACAATATTTGTCTTTTTGTGTTGGTTTATTTTACTTAGTATAATGTTTTCAAGGTCTGTCCATGTTGTAGCATATATCCAAATTTCATTCTCTTTTAAGACTGAATAATATTCCAGCATATGTATATACCATATTTTGTTTATCTATTCATCCTTCAATGGACACAAGTTGTTTCCACCTTTTGACTATTGTGAATGATGCTTATATGAACATTGGTATAGCTACTAGCATTTTGTATATACCATCATTTAAATCTCACAACAGTCCTACACTACAGGTGTGAGTTGTTATCCTCATCATACAGATTTTTAAACTCAAGTCTTCCCAAGGCCTTCCCAAGATTACACAGCTAATGGTGAGATGAGGATTTGAACCTAGAATTAATTGGCTCCAAAGTTTAAGCTTTATTTCATTATGCTTGTTGTTTTTATTGTAGTATTAGCAGTAGGTATGAATATAGGTTATAAATGACCTCCTGTGGCCTACTTTTTCAGGCTAGTAGAATAGCTATGGGAACGTAATTTAGAGATGACCAGTATTTTTTCAGTTTCTGGTGACTTCATGACCCTGTGATGGTTCTCTTTACCTTAGTTTTCCCTCCCTACTCCTACCCCAAGCTTACTACAATCCACCCCAATATGTACTCTATTTTTATTTCTGAATTTGACTTCAAGGGCAGAGAAAGCTCATCTGGTTTAGCTAAATAAATCTTTCAGAAAAAAATCCTCATCTCTAAAACGAGTGAATTAAATGAGATAATTTTTCAAATTCCTTTCGGCTCTGTGTGTACAAGTGCTGTGACTTGAATGTTAAAGATGGCAACTACTTACAAATTCTTTAAGAAAAAGAGAAACATGATCAAAAACTGGAGTGGAGAAATACAGAATATATTGGCAAGGCAGAAGAACTTGTTAATGAATGTTGGAGACTGAAAGATTTGAAGGAAAAATCTTTTTTTTTAACTGCCTTTTTGAGACCAATGTTGTCTTGGTGTTAAATACTTTGTAATGGTCAAGTTGAGTGAAAATGCAGATTGAGAGAAAACCTAAGGGAGTTCTATCTAAACAAGATGCAAACAATTAGGCTCTGACCAGATGAATCTCAGTAATGCGGTACCCAGAGATTAAGGCCTGTGTGGCATTTGGATCATTTTAATGTTTCTGACAAGAGTCAGCATTCCTCAGCTCTCGCTTGCTCAAATATTACGCATTACTTATACTTGACAGAGCTTTTTACTTAATAGGACACTTATAAAACATTGTTATGAAAACATAATGAACTCTATTCAAAGTGCCGTATTTCAAAGAAATTATATCTACTTGTTTCAGATGGTAGCACTATTTTAATTCCCATTATGTTCATCAGTTCATACAAAATTATATTCATCAGTTGAAACAGAATTTCTACCAGTTGTAATCACTCAAGAGAAATGTTCTGCCGCTAATCCTTTCTTTTTCTTTGTTCTACACAACCTTTGCAAGCTGCTACTTGTCATTAAAAATCTCTCTCTTCAGATATCTTCTCTTCAAAATTCTTGTAACATCAGCCTCATGTGAGTAGTATTGGTGGCTATGTGGCATTTGATTTTCATATAACTAATTTATTTGTTTAACAAATATTTATAAAGAACAATAATGTGCTGTGGATAGCATTTGGCACTGAAACCTAGTGGTGAACAAAATAGAAACAGTCCTTGCCCCAAAGGTCTCATGGTCCAGTGTAGGGAGACATACATTGAATAAGTAGTAATGTATGTGGCTGTAATCCAGGTGAGAGCTATGCAAAGGAAGTCCAACGGGTGAGGAGAGCTTGTAATGGTGGACTTTGAGAAGGAGAAAGTTAATGAAGCTTCTCTCAGGGCTGATATTAAGCAGAGAACTGAAGATGAGTAGGAGTGAGCCAGGAAAGAATGGGGTTAGAGCATGTCATTCAGTAGGAACTGGGAGCCTGTAGCCCTTAGCTTCAGTCTAGGGGGATCGATTCACCCAGGGTCACAGAGACATGCATATGTCATTGACCTCTGGCTCTCTGAACATAATTTATCTGTTTCTTATTCACCTACTGCATCACTCCAATTGGTAACTATTTACACTGATATACAAGTATCTTCAAGGAGAGTATAGCATAAGATAATGGAGAGAGGAGGAAGAGAAGATTAACGTGAGAAGAAAGAAGAACATAAATATGGTAAACTACAGTATGTGGACATGGATACGTGGGGCTGAGTAAATCAAGAAGTCGCTGCTAGAGAGAAAGTGTGTGGGTAGTAGAGAAATTTTGGAATTTTTACACAGAAAGAGATAAGAGAGAACCAAAGAGTATATAGGAATGAGAATAATAAAAAGAGCAGGCAGATACTGTTTAATGAAATAACAGAATTTCAAGACTTTTCAAGACTTTTATAATGAAATTTTTTTATGTAGTGCTTTATTATGTGTCTAATGAGACTGGAAGTATAACGCAAATTAGTTTAGTTAGCTTCATTCATTTATCCATTCAACGAATTGTGATTGAGTGCCCAAATTATGTTAGGCAATGGGGATAAATGTATGACTGAGAAATAGTCTGTGCTGTCATGTTATCCAGTGAAAGAGCAAATCATATAAGCAAATTTTCGCAATACAGTAAGATAAATGGTGTAATAGAAATTTATATAAGTGTCAGTAATTAATTACATCCTCTCTGTCTCAGTTGCACTGTTTAAAATGGAGGTGGACTAGATAATGACCAGTTTGGTAACTTTTCTTACATTAATTAGCTCACACTGCTCCTAGAAATCCCATGCAAAATTGTAACTGCACTTCTGGCAATAATTGTGAGACCTTCCACCTGCTCACAGGGCAGATTTTCTGAGTTGAATGCACCTTACTGTGCTCTCAAGTAAATAACTTTCTGTTTGCCAGAGTATTGTTGGTTTTGGAGTTCTCCTTGTGTATGCAGTACTTTTTCCAAAAAGTCTCTTCAAAAACATTTTAAACCACAATAACAGGGTACATCTCGGCCATAGAAATTGAGTCCATGGGGGAAAAAAAGAGGACCGTGCATAGTTGTTCTAACCATAAGCCTCCCAATTGCTCCTGGTGTGACCCACGGTCTCCATCAGCCCAAATACTGGGTGAGAAACCACTGAGAATGGGGAGTGTTTGCTATTTACCTCTACAGAAATCGGAATCGGTGTCACTTCAGCCAGTTATCCAACATGAGTGAGACTTCTAGAGTTTCAGTTTCCATTTGGCTTTCCACTGAATATGTTGTGCTCAGAAGAAAATCTAATGGTGCCAATGCCAGTTGTAACCATTCCAAATCTTTTCAGTTTTCAAGGGATAATTTTACATGCACTTCTGAGCTCTTAAAATCTCTTTAGTTCATTCAATAGTAAATTAAATTATTAATTTTAGACACGGTTTCTAAGTACGTAGAGATATTAAGTATAATATGAGATTTCTCTCTTTGTCAGTTGAGGAATGCCTTCAGGAACATGTTATTGTATTTATACATGAAAACCAAAATGGAAGTAAATGTTTAGAAAAAAAACCCAGGTTGTATGACCATCTCCTAACCCTGTTCCATTTAGATCACATGGTTCCTACTCAGTTTAGAACGCCCACAGCAGCCCCACAAAGAATAATCTTCCTCTGCCTCTTCCCAGATACTGGCCATTTCTGGGTCACTATGAAGGTCTGTATCTGCTTCAAGAGATCTGAGCTTATTATGGTATTCCTAAGCTCTTTAGCACTGAGAAGATACCTGTTCAGGGTCTTCTTTTAAAGAAATGGCCTAGGACTGGTCTCTGTGGCCAAAACAAGTCTCCAAAGGGATCATAAAGAACATAGCCTGAAGACCCCTCTACAACACTCAGTGCTTTTTGTTTTACTAAGAACTATTCCAGAAATGATTTATATTGATCTCTAAATAGAGATCCTTTTTTTGAGATTGACAGGCATTCTCATCCCACTTTTCTGTGTGGAGATTTTATAGGTAAAGAAAATAAGGCTAAGAAATTTAAGAGATTTGCCTAAGATTGCACAAGTGGAAAAGCTAGATTCTGACTCTATGTCCTGCATTCTTTCCTTTCTTCTAAACTGGCTTCATTTTCTCCATTTGTAAAGACTGTTTGTTCAATTTGTAATCTCATTTTTAATTTTATTTCTTTCCTCTCACAGTTTTAGAACTTTTTCTGGAAAAGACATTGGGATTGCGTGTACCCCATTCATTCCAGGTGGTAGCAGACAGGAGTGTATCCCAGCTCCAGGAGTAGAACCTGACTGTTCTAAGCCAATTGGAGCCTGTCTTTCTGGGTACAGTGATTGGCTCATGGATGGGCCCATGACCCAAGTTGGTCTCTAGAGAAGCTCAGGACTTTTGTTTAATGACTAAAGAAGAAAGGCCCTCTCGTACCTGTTATAAATAAAGAAGTTTGTAACATGAGAGCATTTGGCAGCCATCCTATGGCCATGAAGAGAGGCAGACTTCTACCACATGGAAGATAGACTTGAGATATGGGCATAAACTAAGTCTTTGGTGGTAGCATTGACTTTCTGGGTCATTCTAACCAAAAGCCTTTCCTATTATAGTTACATGAGCCAATAAATTTCCCCTATGATTAAAACCAGTTTAGGTTATCTTTTCTGTTACTGCAAACAAAAGCAAGTTAACTAACACATCACGTAATTTAACATCAACAGTAAGTTTAATAAGCATATTCTGTTTTATGTTATCTAAGTTGTCAGTAAAGCTGTTGAAGAGATAGCAACATTGTTTCCTAGAACAGGGGAAAATATAATGACATTTGTTTTATAAAAGAACTTCAAAGTACGTAGAACATTGTGAGATATTTAACTGATGATTCATAGACAATAATGCCACACTCTCTGCACACCTGTCAGACCAACCCCTATTTGGTCTGGTACTTGGTATTTGGGCCTACCTTGCCTCTTTCAAATATTTTATTGTCCTCCTGGCTCTTAGGGTCTGGATCTCTGCTCAGCTCCCTATGCTACCACCTTGCCACTCAGACTTGGGTCTGCCATAGTCCCCAGTTCATTTTCAATTACACCGAAACTTAGTTCTCTCAAATCTCATTCCATACTAATGACCAGCACACTGCCTTCTCAGGTGAAACTAATTAAGCTACTCATGCATCTGTTCGGATTCACTTAACAAAAATGTGTTGACCATGTGTTGTATTTGTCAAATTTCTTAGTTGCAAACTGGAAAAATCTACTCTAGCTAATTTAAGCAGCATAGAATTTATTAAATGTAAAGAATCTCAAGAAAATTTAGAAAACTGGGCATAGATACTACCCAGGTGGCAACGAGCAACCAGGAGATGCATCTAACCACACCACTAAACTGCTCTGCAAAACACTACTATTATCCCCACTTGGTATTTAGGACATTAAGTCCTAGATTCCAGAACCTTCCTTGCAGCTGTCTCAGAAGAACCAGATGCCTCTGTTACCATACTCTTCTAAAAATCTGATCTTCCTCATAGCCATCACCTCTCCTTACTTACCTTCAAATCTTACATAGGAGTGTCATCTGCTTGAGAGAGCTAGGTCTCATGCAAAATGTGAGTTGTAAGAGAGACTAGGAAATGTAGTTTTATAGGAAATAAAACTAGAATGGGGATTGTCATGAGAGCTGAGGGAGATGATTTAGTTTCTGCCACACGTACTGGCTGCTGGGCACTGTTCTAGACAGTGGGAGGTGGTGGAAGCTGGGGAGGAAAGAATAAGAGAAACAAAGACCCTAGCCTTGTGGAGAGAAAGTCTGGTGGGGAAGCAGATAACTAACAACTAAATAAATAAAATTTCAGTTAGTGATAAGTACCAGAAGAAAAAGAAAATGGAGTAACAGCCTGAAGATAAGTGTGTAACCTTTGATAGCGGTTTCAGAGAAAGCCCTTGTGAAGAAGTAAAATATGAGCAAAGACTCGAATGATGAGAAGCTGTATGAAAATCTTGGCAAGAGCATTCCAGGTAAAAGGAACAATAAATTCAAAGGATATGATATGGGGGTAAGCTTGGTATGGTGGAGCAACGACGGGGCAGATATGAGCAATCAATGCACAACAAGAGATGAGGTCAGATAGGTAGACAGGGACCAGATCACACAAGAGTTAGGTCATTATGCTAGGTGTATTGGGAAGGTTGTAAGCAAGGCAGTGACTTGATGTAACTTACATCTTAAAAAAATTGGCTGCTATGTAGAAAGTCAACCTTGAAAGGGCAAAAAGAGTAGCAAGGAGACTGATTCAAAGACTTGTCCAAGGAAATGATGATGGAGGCTTGAACTGGACTGGTGGCAGAGAAGTGGGGAAAAGTGGTCCAATTCTGGCTATGTTTTGTAGTTAAACCTAATACAAATTGCTCAGGATTGAATGTTGGAGGTGAAGGAAAATAAAGAATGATGCCTAGGATTTTTGACTGAGTCAGTAGTGAATGGTGGTGCCATTAATCTAACCAATGTATGGTATACTTGAAACTAATTTAAATAAATAAATTTTAAAAAAATAAATAATAATGGGTAAAGTCTGAAGGTAGAGGGAAGAGAAAGTCAAGAATAAACACCCAAGTGGTGATGTGGAGTTGTCACAAGGATAGTAGCTCAGGTAAGAAGTTGATAATATAAACTGGGGAGACATCAGGATATAGATATATTTAAAGCTAGGAGACTGGGTGAGATTACATAGCGAGAGAGTGTAGATAAGAAAGAGAAAAAGATCAAGGACTGTGCCCTGTAGCTCTCTAATATTTATAATTTAGGAAAAAGAAAATGAAGTATTCATTAACTGGTTTTTAAAGAAAGATGAAAATGAGGAAAGTGTGCATCCTAATTACCAAGTGAATAATGTTTTCTACAGGAGGTCATGAGTGCCTGTGTTGAATGCTTACTCCACTCGGAAATCAAGTAAGATGGCAATCGGTGTTTTTGTTTTAGTGGGGGTTGCTGATGACCTTGCAATGAGGCGTCTTAATTTAGTACTATAGTGGCCATGTAGGTTGGGAATGATCTAGGTGAGGGAGAGAAATGGTTTGGAAGAGAGAGGGGTTAATCGTAGGAGCAAAATAGGTGAGCGGGGAAGAAGGAGAGGATGGAGTGCAGGCCTTAGGAGCAGGACAGTAACAAGGGGGAGGGTAGAATGTTTATGGATCTAGTGATGGAGCATGAGATAGTTCTGATCAGACTGCTTACATCTAGTAAGAGGGTGTGTGGCCATCAGCTCAGATTGAAGGCAGAGAGAGGAGGCTGTCTAGAGTTTGAAACAAAAAGATAAGATATGAAGGCCTCATTTCTTAGAGTGGAAGAATGATTTCAAGAGAAATATCGTGAGATTTTTGGTTTATAGTAAAATCTGTGCTCAGGAATTTAAAGTGAGACCAGTAGTATAGTTGTGTACTTTTGCTCAGAACAGCCTTCAAAAACAATGCTCCCATCTTGTTTTGTAAATTGAAGGAACAGAAGTTCTAACGATGGGAATTACACACCTGAGAGTACAGAAGACTAGAACAATGGCATGTGTTGGCAGTATTGTCAAGAGCAGGACCTTGTGATGCCCTGAAGTCACATATGTGGGTGACTTAATCCTGATGATTTGCAATGGGCATCCTGGCACTGGATTCCTCTTCCCAGGAAACCCTGGACCCCTGGCAGCTTTCTTTGGAAATATCTCTTGATATTTTTCTTGAAATCATTCTTCCACTCTCAGAAACGAAGGCTTCACAGTAGTCTTTTCATTCATCTACCATCGGTCCATCAAGTACCTTCCTGTTAAGTACCTAAATCACTCAGGAGTAAGATGAGCAAAACTTAGTTGAACCAACATAAACTTCCCGTATCACTTACATGATAGCAAACATGTAGATAGCACTTATTATAGGCTAGGTACTACTCAAAATAATTTGCACATTTTAACTCTTTTAATCTTCCCAACGACCTATCAGTTAGGTACTATTTTTTCCTATTCTACAAATGAGGAGACTGAGACAAAAATGTTGAGTGACATGCCCCTCATAATTTAGACCTGCACAAGCTGGCACCAAAATGTGATTTTTTTACGACTCACCTCTACTGTCTCTTGTTCTTATCTGCTTTCTTTTTTTTTTTTTTTCTTGAAGATGAAATATACAGACCAATTTTGGTAGGATTTTTAAAATCTGTCATGATTTCCTCTTGAGTCTTTGTATGAATTTCCCAACAGCTGATAACAGAATACTAATGTAGTCTGTTATACCAATTTTATACAAGTTATATCATCTGTCCAAAAATCACAGGGTTTATTATGGTATTTTTTTGCTACATTTTCTTCATTCCATCTCTACCTTTACTGTACTGAATATTGTTAAGATATTTATTCTGAGTCCAAGTTTTGGGTGTCACCCTGCATTTAATTAATATTTCCTTTTGTATTATTATTGCAGCTGAAACTCAGTTGTTTGTCATATGTGCATTTTCTGCTAATCTAATGCCATTATTTCTCTACCTTACCACAGGTTATCATTGCCCTTTCAGAAAAACACCGTTTACACATTCCATATAGAAACTCCATGATGACTAGTGTCCTAAGAGACAGTTTGGGTGGGAACTGCATGACGACCATGATTGCAACACTCTCTTTAGAGAAAAGAAACATTGACGTATGTTGTTTCTTCTTTTTGGAGCTCTCACTTTTGAGTTTTTATTGCTAGTTTGTAGGGTGGAGTTGAGGATCCTGGGTGGGTTTCCATCTTTTCAGCTGGAGGAGGGAATGCCTTCAGGGGTAAGTACCCTACAGATTCCACAGCTTTGGGTTATTTGCCAGCATTGTAATTACACCATTTGAGAACTGGCTTCACACAGCACAAGATGATTTTAAGAAGTCTCATACACAAATTTCAGAAGTCTTGCTGATGGGTTAGTTACTTTGACCAGAGACATGAGAAAGGAAACCCATCAGCTTCTGCTCTGTTTTGCTCATGATGACTAAGATACATTGGAGACATCACCAAGATATGTCCCTAGACATGTCACTGGGCACAATACCCAGGATGCTTTGGCAGGGCCTGGCTGACAAATGGCTTTCCCGCATTGCTTTAGAGCCAGATGATGTTTCATACATTTCAGTTTAATGTTTAGAATCCAGACTTTATCCCAAAGAAGGAAACAAGAAGCAACAGAGTACCTCTCCAAATAAGGCCAAGCCCCAATTGCACTGTAAAATTCCTCTAAATCTTCTCTTTTTGGCCTATTACAAATATTTATTTTGTAGTCTTCCATGTTCATGGATTATGGTACCTGCTCTGATTATGATTTGTATATATGGTCCTGCTTTAACAGATGAGTAGTTGAGAAATACATACCAGTTGCCACTTAGGACCTCAGGATCCTCCCCAACACACTCTTTTGGCATTGGTCATTTTATTAAGTCTAAACAAAAATTTAATTAAAACTAATGTTCTAATGCAAAGCTCTCTAATTTGGAGGCATGTTTCCTCATTGCATTTATTACACACCACTCTTTAGATGTGCATCCTTTTTCCTGTGAGCAAAAATTAATCTATGCCATAACATTTTAAGGAGTTATTTTGCTTTCTTAGGAGTCTATATCCACCTGCAGATTTGCACAACGAGTGGCTCTCATAAAGAATGAAGCTGTTCTTAATGAAGAAATTGATCCCAGATTGGTAAGTAACTTTTGTTTAGGCTTTTAAAAAAATCAAAGTACTATATCAAAGATTACCTAAACTCGGGGGGCACTTACTCCCCCAACGAGGCAACGTTCTAAGTACTGGAAACATACTGACTCATTTGATTCTCTTAACCTTATCAGTCAATGCCATCTCTATCTCCACTTTACAGATAACAAAACCAAGGCACACAGATGTTAAATAACTTGCTCAGAGACACAATGCTAATAAGTAGCAGAGCCAGGATTCAGACAGTTAGTCTGATTCAAGAGTCTGTGCTCTCACCTTCAGACCCCATTACTCCACTGTGAGTGCTGAGAACATATACGATGAAGTCATACACAGTTATATTTATATAGTAGCCTTTCAAAAAACATGTTTAACGTTCCAGAGACAATAACAATAGACCATCTTTTATAAAAGCCTATCGAGAAAAAGTGCTGATGGTTTTTAAACACAACCATATTTTGCATAACTGTTCTGTTGCTTATTCTAGAGATTTTTAAAACTTAATGATTTAATTTATGGAAAAATGACCAAGCCTCTAGTTTTACAGCAATGAATTCTGCTTTATCAAAGTGCTTTTTTTAAGGGAAAATATTTGCAGGTTACATGATTCAGCTGCTCATTATAAGCAGATATTTTCTCTTTCCTCCATCTTGTTACTGTTTTAGAAATTGAAATGCAACTTATACCAGCACTGAAAATGTTGAACTAAAAATTTTCAATTTCGTAGCCCTCCAATTAAGATTATACTACTTTGCAAACCACTAAGCTTTCTTTTTAAAATTTTCTCAATAATAATCTGGTGTAAGCTTAGTAGTATCCATTATTTAAAAAAAAAAAAAAAAAAAAAAAAAAAAAAAAAAAAAAAAAAAAAAAAGTGAAATCTTACTAACAGTGCTTTATTTACAAATTTCTCAAATTCCAAAAGAAAAATCTCAAATTCATTGTTATGCGTATTAACTACTTCCTATTGATTGTTTGCCCTTCCTCCCCTGAAATCATTCCATAGAAGAGTAGAGAAGAAAGAGGAAAAAAGAATAATGGAGCTATCTGTTTTATCCTGCTCACCTTGGGGAGCTTGAGCTCCCCCGATGGAATTCTCTTCAGGAGAAACCAATGGGTGAGGCAGGATCTATTTTGAGTACAGGCCCTGGTCAGATATAGCATCACACAGTGCCCCACTGAGAAGGAGACAACTCAAAGGCATGAGTCAAGTGGAACTGAACTCCTGGGATGAATTCTTCTGTTTTCTCTGCCTTGTCGGCAGCCCTGCAGCATTACCGTGCACAATGAGAAAGACAGCGATGGGGTTATTAGCCTGAAGACAAAAATTAGTTTACAATTGAAGGAAAATAAACATATAAGACAATGGAAGTTTTTTCTTTAAATTTGGCTAGAGAGACTTTTCTTTGAAGCAACTTAAGGAATTTGAAGAAAGGTAAACATTATCATGTGTTTGATGTAGGTCTGAAAGAGATTTAAAGAAAGGAGAAATCAGGAGTCAAAAAGCTAATAGCTGATAATTGAACAAATGTTGAGGTCTTCCTGGTGCAAAATAATCTGGTAATTGACAAGTGCTGTTTCCTGGTCTCTTTTAATTGCTTCTAAAAACTGACATGCCTGTGCATTATTTTATGTACAGAGCTTTTCTGAAGTACAAGTGACAACTAAAAATTTATTCTCTAAATCGCTCAAAATACAACCTGTATGGGATTTCCTATATCTTACTCTCAAACTTTAATGGCAAATGTGGACCAGCTCTGTAAGATCAGGACCAGCAAAGTTTGACCTGTTTTCTTTACAAGCATTAGTGCCTCAGAGAGACAAAATAATAAAAGAACTGTGAACAGGCCAGAGTCTGTGGTGACAGGACATGGGGCAGAATCTTCTAAGGATGTCCCTCATTCCAAAATACCTGCAGAAATTTGATGGGAAGTGTGACTCTAATAATTTCAAAATCATTAAAAGTTCGCTTTTTTGAGACTTTTATTCACTAAGGCAGAAGATAATTTGTTGGTAAGATTTGACTTTGAAAGCCTTAGTAGAAGTAGAAAATATGGCATCAATGTTAGTTTAGTAGAGAAAGGGAACCAATGAATGACTCACATAGTTCCCATCTAAGGATTTTCATTCTGGCAACATTCTAAGAAAGGAAGCAAACAACCAAAACCCACTCAATTCTGTGTATTTAAATGAAATTCTAGGAACATGGATATGTTCAAAGTATTCAGTATCATGTTCTTTGGAACTCCTGGCCCTGTTGATGTAGTACAGATAATATGAAACCCACCTATATAAAATTTAACAAGCCTCTTTTGAAATATATGTCTGAGGCCTTAGGAAGTAAAGGAATTCTCGAGAGCCCAGAAAAGAAGCTGAGGCTGCATTTGCCATGGAGTGGAAGGGTGAAGGGGATTTTCATAAAGGCATAGAAGCCAAAGCCCTTGGAAGATGGCTGATGGATCTAAGACATCTCTCCCATCCCCAATATAAAACCAGTATAAAGGTGAACCTGTAAGGAAAAAATCTTTTTGCCGGCTTAGGGAGATGCTAGGGATGCTTTCTTGCCTTAACCCAGACCCTAGGTAGAACAAAATATGGTTTCTCTGAAAATTTGAAATCCTAAGGCGTTGCTTCACATGAGTTTGAAGTTCAAATTTACACCACTCCCTTGGTCTGGTAACCTCCAAACCAAGAATTTAGAATGAACAATAAGATAAATCCAAAAGTGTAAAAAGACAGAAATTAAAAAGTATAAAAATAAATAAAAACAGAAACCAAAGAGAAGATACAATGGAAAGAAACAACAAAACCTGAAGTTGACTTTTTATTGATTAATAAAATGAACAAATCTCTGGAAAGATTAATGAAGAAATAAAAAAAGGAAAGCACAAATTTATACAAGAATATTTGGAATGAAAGAAGGACTTAACTATAGGTATGGTAAATAAAATAATAAAAAAATACTTTGAATGACTTTATGGTATAAACTTGAAAACTTAAACAAAATGGACAATTTCCTAGAAAAACAATGCTGAAACTAAAACAAGAAGTTTAAAAACATGAATAAATCTACAACTAATAAATAAATTGATTCAACAATACCAAATCTACCAAAAAGAGAGAAAAAGAGAAAGCGGGAGGAAGGGAGGAAGGACTAGACTTTATGGTATAAACTTGAAAACTTAAACAAAATGGACAATTTCCTAGAAAAACAATGCTGAAACTAAAACAAGAAGTTTAAAAACATGAATAAATCTACAACTAATAAATAAACTGATTCAACAATATCAAATCTACCAAAAAGAGAGAAAAAGAGAAAGCAGGAGGAAGGGAGGAAGGACTAGACTCATTTTTTTTTTTTTATGTTTACCAAATATCGAAGAATAAAATTGGACTCACCCTGCTAATTTTTATTTTAGGAACTTTGCATTATAATCATATGATCATTAAAATGATATGTGATATTGTGACCTAGTTAGGTTTATTTCTAGAATTTAAGGATAATCTATCATTAGAAAATATATGAATGTATAGTAAAGAAAAAAAAAATAGCCATGAGAAAAATAAACACCAAAGTTAGAGTAATGGTAATGGAAAATTCATTTACAGGAGATTCTACAGGAATGAGAGCTTCAAAAGAGCCTGTAATGTTTTATTTCTTGAGCTAAATAGTAGGTACATTGGTGTTCACTTAAGCTAAGCAGTGGGTACAAGGTGTTCTCATACCTTTTCATATGTGAGGTAGTTCATACTAAAAAAAAAAAACACATGAATTTAGGTGATTCATCATATTTACAGTTTTTAAAAAATTATTTGATCTTATCACTAGATGCATAAAAAGCACCTGATGACATTAAGCATTCACGCATATATATAGTTTGAAAAGACTCACCAAACTTTGACTATAAGTGAACATCCTTAAAGTAGTTAAGAGTATCAACCAAAAACTGCAGCCAACATTTTACAGGTAAAATGTTAGAGGGAATAAGACAAGAGTCTTAAGCATTGTACTTGAAAGTCCTAGCTAGAATAGAGACAGTGTTTTTTTAAAAATTAATAAGGATTTGAACAAAAAGAAAAACACCTGTCATTACTTGCAGATAATTTGATTGCTTAAAAGGAAGATTCAAGAGTATTTAATGATAAACAACCATACTAATTTTCAGAAAATTATATAGTACATAATCCATACATAAAATAAATTGCATCCCTATGCATCAAAATCCAACAATTAGAAAATGCAGTTTTACAAAACTTATATTTATAATAGCAACAAAAACTTTAAAATACTAGGAAAAATAATTAAAAACATGTAAGATATTTATAGAGAAAATTATAAACCTTTACTGAAAAGAATCAGTGGAAAGCCATACCATGTTTACAGATGTGATGATTCCACATCATTCGTTTGCTAAGTCTTGCCAAATTAACCCTTTAATCAAATTTATTTTCTGTTAAAATTTGAGGAGGGCCTTCAGTAGAATTTTACTAGCTAGGTCAAAAATTTACATGAAAGAGTAAATGACCAAGCATTGTCAAATATATTTTGAAAAAGAATAAGATTGAAGGGTCTTGTTCTATCTAGATGCCAAAATTTCTTAAGACATAGTAATTAAAACAATGTGGTATTGCCATACATATAGTCAAGTAGACAAATGTTTTTAACTTGTAACCCAGGAAAAGACACATTTATATATGTTATATAAGATAATTTAAATAGCAAAACTTGAATGGTTAACTATATAAAAAATAAATTAAAATTAGACCCATATCTCATACTTTACAAAATAAAATCAACTTAAATGTGAAAAGCAAGGATTTAAAACTCTTATAAGAACATATAGGAAAATATCCCTATGGCTTTAAGTAAAATAGATTTTCTTTAAGACATAAAAATACAATTTATGAGGGAAGAAGTTGATAATAAAATTGTATTGAAATTTAAAACTTTCATTTAACAAAAAGAACACCACAAAGTGAAAAACATGATATAGATTGGGAGAAAATATGTGCATTGTATAAAACTAATAAAAGGTTCACATCCAGAATATTAAAAAAGCCTACAAATGAAAAGGGAAAAGTAAAAACTCAGTTGAAACATGGACAAGAATGTGAATAAATAACTCACAGAAAAGGAGACCCAAAGAGCCAATATACATATACAAAGATGATCAACCTCTCTAATAATCATGAAAATGCAGATTAGAACTAAACGAGATACCATTTTATATCTACCAGATTGACAACATTAAAGTGTTTGTCAATACTGCACAGATAGTGACAAAAATGTGGGGAATCAAGAACTTATATATATAGCTGATGAGAATGTAAATTTATATAACTACTTTGAAGAGCAAATTAGCAATATATAATAAAAGGAAGATGTAATACTCTACACCCATGCAATTCTAAGTGCACACTATAGAGAAACTCTCATATATGTGCCCAGAGATTTATAATGTTCACAGAAACACTGTTTGCAACAGCAAAAGTAAAAATCCTCTTTCCATCAACAGGGGACATAGGTAAATGGTGATATATTCCCTTACTGAAATACTATATACCCATGAAAATTAATGAACTAGAGCCACATAAAGCAATATAAAAAATCTCAAAAGCATAATGTGAGAGAGAAAAAAGTTACAATTACAGGCAGTATGGTAATATTTACATAAAGTTTAAAGCATGCAAAATGATACCATACATTATTTACAGTTACATTTATACAAATGGAGTAAATGTATGAAAACATGCTGGGAAATGCTACCCAATAAATACCATTTAATGTTACCCCAGGAAAGACAGAAGGGGAACTGGAATAAGGGCTCTAGTTATATCAGTATTGTTTTATTTGTATTAAAAAACTCTAAACTATTTTAACAAAATGTTAAGGTTTAACAAGGCTGGGTGGTAGGTATGGGAGTTCCTTTGATATCATTCTCTATACATTTCTGTATCCTTAAAATTGTTCATAGTTTTAAAAGATGTACGTTCTCTGTCACCAAGTTCTCCTTAATGAGGAGTTGACATTTACTCTCTCGGCTTGCCGTTTATAGATGATTATACGCCTACAAAAGGAAATCCAGGAACTGAAGGATGAACTGGCCATTGTCACTGGGGAGCAGAAGACAGAGGCGCTCACAGAAGCAGAGCTCCTTCAGTAAGCCTGCAGAGTTTTTTTCTCTTTCTTTAACAGTGAAAGTTTGTGTTAACTTCTTTGTTGGCCCTAGTGTTATGAATTCACCTCAAAACAAAAAGGTCTCTTGGGACAGTCTGAAATTGCATTTAGGCGCCAGTTAAGAGTGGCAGCTTTCCATGAAATGCTGGATAAGGCTGGCAGTGTTTTTGTCGCCTCAGCTTTGAGAAAGTAAAGAACAGAGCGTATAGAGGATGGGAATGTCCTTCTCATGCCAGCTGAAGAAAAGGGATTGTATTAAAGTCATGCGATTTTAAAACATATACACCAAACACTCTTGAGCTGTGGATCTCAGACCTGAAAGGAATTCAAGAAACGTTCTTTGTATTAAACAGCATCTTGCTGCAAGCACCAATTTATTCCATGCCAAAATAAGCTCTCTCCTTTAATAAATAGATGGCCCATATATTATAGTTCAGATGCTCAAAATGGGAATGAAAGCAGGTATTCAGGGCTTTGCACAAGGGCGGCATGTTCAGAGCCTTCAGATGTGTAGCCATATGGCGTATCAGTGACACAATGTGGCTCTCATACTCTCTCTAATCTTGAGCCACAGTGGTGGGCTTTTTGCTACTTCTGTGCTGCCTGTTAAGCATTTGTGGAGCAATAATAATGCACTAGACTTAGAAGGCAGTGGTATTTTCTATTTCCAAATAAGAAATAGAGCTACACAAGATTTTTCTAAAGATATAGTGCCATTTCACCTAACCCTCTCTCAACAGAGAAAATGCTAAATAATAGAGATAATAAAAGTATTTTCTTTAAACTACTTCATGGCTGCCCTGGAGGTAGGTCTAAAGCTTGTGAAATTCAAGTAAGATTTCTGTTATACTCTAAGCTTTTGCTCCTCTGTATAGCATTTCTTAATTCTAGAACACTGTGTTTAATAATATGATAGACCCTTAAGGCTTTCCTTACAAAACTGCTTTGTGGCATAAATGCAGTTAACCTGAAATATATTGCCCAGATTCACATTTTAAAGAATTTCATGTCACTCCTTGAAATAACTTGGAATATCTTAGACATTGAAAAACTCAAGTTGAGAATTCTTTGCTACGATGCTCCCTTCCCCTCAAAGAAAGGAATTACCAAATATTAACTTTGAAGATGTCTCTTCAGAATTTTGATTTCCATGTCAAGGTCCAGCCAGGAAGATAAAATCATTCTAGGCCTTGCAACAAAAGGAATGTAATATACTAAATGTATGGCACAGGAGATAGTGTTGTGGAAATGATGCAGCACCCCAGAGATCAGGGACAGCAGGAGCTCCTACCCTTAGGACCAAAGGGACAATGGTAGAAGGTTGTGTCACCAAAGCCTAAGGCTGGAGCTGACCAGCAGGAGCTAGACCATGAGAATGCTGCCTGATGTAAGCTAGGGCCACTGAAGAGCCACAGGTGCTATGAGAGACATAATTCCTGCAGGGAGCCCTAGCTTCTTCTTCATCTCCCCTTCTAGTCTTCCCCTAGTGCCTCCCGTTGGCTGAACTTACCCAAAAGCCAGTTGTAAAAGGAGTCAGGGAATGTAGTTTCCCATGATGCAGAGTCAGAGAAGGGTAGAAATTGGATCTAAGAGCAAAAAGGGAAATGACCAGCATATCAAACAGTACAAGTGTTTTCTCTAATTTCTGTGTGCCATGCATATGGCTCAGGAGTGCACAGTTTAAGGGTAAAATTCTGAATGTGATGGTTGCAAGATGTCAGATTGAGTAAGTATATGTTGCAGGTTCCCTCCAGTGCACCAAATCGGGGGACTTGTAGAACAGATATGAAGAAACATTTGAATCTCTAGCCAAGAACAAGAACCCAAGAACAAGAAGTAAATTTCTCAAGGGACTAGAGAGTTCAAGGAATTCCTGCAAGACTGACAGGTGCGGCTGAGATGGGCAAGAGAAAGGATAGCCCAAGACACGAGCACAGTATCATCAAGTCTCCAAGTCCAGAAGTGGTGGCACTTGGAGGAGGAGAGAGCAGGAACAGCCAATGAGGGTTTGGTAGAGCTATTGTGGCGGGAGCAGTTTGTCCCATGAATTCTGCACACTTTTTCTCTTTTCTACCCAGTGTTTAGGTTCCTGTTTAGGATAGAGACATAGGGAAGGGTCTCAGGTAACTTATGTTGCCCAGGACAAAGAGAGACCGGATAAGCTCTGATTACTAGCTGCTATCTATAGCTCTGTCCATCCCTAGTTCTCACTGAGAAAAGTAAAGAGAACAGGTACCCATGGCTACTTCAGCCCCTCATCTACGACTGGCTGCCCAAGCTGAAGTTGCTAAGAATCTTGAAAATAAGAGCTCACAGTTTGGAATTACTAGAAATATGAATTACTAAAAAATTACTGCCAACATCGAGAAAGACAAGAACAGGAAGCTTGGAGGGCTTCAGAACTAAACTTTACAAGAAGAGCAATTAGTATCTTTAGAGATATAAAAGATAGTAATATATCCATGAAACAACAATAGGATCTTGATTTTTATAAAGCAGAATCGAGAGATTTTGAAAAAAGATGCAATTGTTGAGATTGTGAATTTAATAGGTGGCTCAATCACAAAATGAAAAATGAAGGGGCAAATTTGTGAGCAAGAAAGATCGAGACGAAGTAATTCTTCCAGAATATAAAAGGATAAAGAGATAAAAAGTTTAAAAGAATCATAGAGAATAGCTCTGGATTCACCAATATCTAACAAATAGTTTTTGGAGGAGAAATAGAGATAGCTCTGGGGAGCCAATAGTTAAAGAAATGATATCTAAGAATTTCTTAGAACTGAAAAACAAAAAAAAAAAACAACACAAGACTTCAGAACGAAAGTGTTGGCATGTGCTAAGCAATATAATAATATTATAGAAAACTTTTAGAACCTTAAAATATAAAAAAGAATTCCAAAAGTTATCAGAGAAGAAAAATATTATTAACAGTCAAGAATCTGATTAACAGCAGACTTCCTATCAGCAATTCTAAAAACAAGAATCTCTAGTGCCAAAAATAAATAAATAAATAAAACAAAAAAGGACTTCGAATGGAGATTTCTGAGTCTAGCCAAATAAGTACTCAATGCGAAGGTGAAATAAAAGGCGTTTTTAAGACATACAAAAACTTTCATACAGAAGAATGACCACCCTAGATCATCTCTTAAAAGACTCCCATAGACTACTTTCACAAAAAGAAAAATGGTATAAAGTATAAGAAATAATGAACAATTTTTTTATACTTTCTTCATGATACCTAATTTTGTATTATATTTACATTATATCTTTTACTCACTTGCCATTTATTATATAAATGGATATTTCTGTTTAAAAGTTATTGACAACATTCAAATGTGCTTTTCACAGGAGTTTGGGGGGTAGAACGCAGAGAAATAAAATTGTGACAACAGATTTAAAATAATGCAGGACTCAGATTATGAACTGGTTTCCTTTGATCTACAGATAACAAATATACAAATGTCAACTGGAACAAGTTCTATATAGACAGTATGTAGGGTTGCCGTTAGTTTTTCTGAGCAATTGGTTCATTCATTCATTCTTTCATTGTTTCAACATTTATTGTTCCTCTAGTACTCACAAAAATCCATTCTAGGCCCTTTGAGGCACACGGTGATGAACAATACCTGGATCCAGCTCTCAAGGGCTTCACAGTTTAATTTCAGTGACAGATATGAGCACAAGTAATTATGATACAGAATGTAAGTGTTATGAAAGATTTAAATAAAACATGAGATTGCAGAGATAGTAATGATTAATTTTTTGAGTTCAGGAATTATGTAAAATTAGTTTGTGTGTTGATAAGTAAGTTTCAACAGTTCCCAATGAAATGATTTCTCTGTTGTCAAGATAAATATACTAAGTAACATTATATCTTATTAATGATTTCTGATCAGCAATTAGGGAGAATAAATGCTGCAAACTGCATCCACCCTGCCAAAGCAAAGCATATGTTTTCACAACAATCTAGTAACTTTGGTGTTTATTCATACTGACAATGTGGATTATTCAGATAATGTTTTTGTTATTATTTCTGTTATATTGTTTTTGTAGTTATGTTTTGCCATAATTAGCTAAATTGAATATTGGTACAACTTTAAATTCATCAGATTTAAGGGACTTTTATCATCTTAATGTAAAAGAGATCAATTAAAATTTGCCCCTAATGTGGCACTACTATTTCATATCATTAGACTGCTTCTTTTTCTTCTAGGGTCCCAGTACATTTATTCAGGGATATGAATCAGCTTCAGTCCTCTCATTGTGCCCAGAATCCCCAGGTAACAAGAGTGGGTGGGGGATAGTGTTATTGGAGAAAAGAAGAGCCCCACAGCCTGGCAGGACAAAGGGCAGATGTTCTTGCTCTGGTCTGCTTCTCTGTCCTGCTGATTCTTGGGTTTATACTAACCGGGTTTATGGCATAAGGACATTCCCATCAAGGATTCTGTGAAGGGTGTCAGAAAGCAGATATTTAATAGATAATATATTCTATGTAATATGCATTGGACAATATAAAGATGCCTGTTGATGTCTAGTCCTATCAAAATTTTTGAACTATTTCCCAACATATCAGTTCTTAATGTAAACATTTGTTGCATTGACTTGGATGCTTCAATTGAAGAGGATTTTAGATGTCAGCATCATTATCGGAATATTTTTAGTTTACATCTTTTGGGGGGGGAGGATTGGCTTGTGTAAATTTGAAGAGAGACAGCTGGATAAAGGCTGTATAGCCAAGTTAATGTTTATATAGAACTTCTTGGGTGAAGATTTGATTCTGATTAATTCTCTAAACACATACCTCTTTCTTCTTCTGGTAAAAAAATAAAATAAAAAATAAAAAATAAATAAGCCTGTAATTCTCTGGCTAGGATGGAAGCATTATATTCTGGCACAAGTCTAAATGAGTAGAATATTTGCAGCATAGCAACAGTTTACTTTTGAAATAGAATTGCGTTGGATCTCATGGGCTTAAATCCGCC